GCAGCTCTACTCCAAAGAGGAAGATAATTGGACAAAGGTATGGGGTTGGCAAGCATGGAGGCAAAGCCTTCTCCATGCAGTGTTGTGTGAAAAGCCAGTAGTGGAAGAACTGCCCTTTTGTTTGTTGTGGTAGTGGTGGTGTTCAGACACCAAACTCATTCTAGGCCACTGATACTTTTCTTCTTATGAGAGGCAGCTCTGTCATGGCTCCATCATAAAAAAATCATAGGGCACTCTCAATACAATGATACTTTAGTTTGTCTCTACAAAGGAATAACCTTCTTTACTATCTCAAAGACATTACTCCTTTGAGTGGTGGTTGATGAAAGACGAACACTTTTGTTTTCATCATGTCTAGGACTTCAAAACTGAGTTGTCATTGTAGCAAAAATTATATCCATATAAAAAAACCAAATTTTGGGATAAAAGTGCTGTCACACCTGGTTATTTCAATATAGCAAGTGATACTCAGATAAATGTCATTGCTTTCTATTGTTAATATAAAAGAACAGAAACAATATGTTACTAAAAACAAAAGAAAGACAGAAAGAAGAGAAGATTAATGTTTGATGTGTGTGTAAAATTCAAACAAATAAAATCAACACATTAAAACAATTTTGTAAACGTTTTGTAAAACGTATGGAAATTTAAATTATTCAGTACAATTGCAAAGATGCATTATTGCACTATGGTGTACTTCAGTGACATAGGGACTGCTAAACCACCTTCCCTAGAATTCAGCAAGAAAAAGGCTTGGATATTTAAAAAGTGGGGACATGGAGGCATACTAATCCAAGGATTAAAAGTAGAAATGGGCATGAACCAGAAAACCAGCCATTCATGATGCTTTGTGGTTTGTGGCTACCCATGAACTATCACGAATCCCCCCAAAAAACAAACCAGGTCGCAGTTTGGTTTTTTTTGGGTTCGTGCAGGGGGGATGCTTTCAGATGCTTACACCGACCTCTTAATTTATGGTAATTAACTGAGATATATGCCACCTAATTGGTAGCTGTGTTAGTCTCCCACACACACACTCTCCCTGCCAACATTTTAAAACTCCCCTCTCCCCAGAGATACAGCCACTTCGTTCACCTGAAGAAATGTGTCTGGGCAGACAATATCTTATGAAAAACTAAAAACTAGTTAGCTTTAAATGGGCTTCAAGACTTCTGGTTTCTCTTGAGAAATGTGCCTATTGCATGATGTCAGCAGCTGTAACTAATAGGCTTGTACAAAGATTTAAAAATAATTATAATTCTTCTATTATATAGTGGGTAATTCAAAACACTTTATCTTTTTAATCCCAAATGCATCCTGTGTTTTGAAATTATTTTCCCAAATCCAAATCTCATGAAAATTTTCTCCCAGCAGCTGATTAAATTATACTCTTAGGCAATGAATTTGTTGGGCAGTAATTTTTGTTCGTTATATGCGCTCCTTTATATAACCTTAAATGTCTTGGCTTCACAATCCTGCGTACCTTAGACTTTAAAAACATTTATGGATGAATTATAATGCCTTCAAGCTCTGTGTTTACATTGGGAATACTTGGTTGACTTTTAAGCAAGCTCAACTACCAGGTGGGCTTGAATTAAAAGAGGTTTTTCATATATGTATAAATCTAATGAGAGTGTAGTGTCCCTACTATACATTACTGTACTGACTTTATACAAACATGAGATTCAATTAAAACCCAACTTTTTAGAAACAGAAATAACATAAGCCACACAGAAAAAAAAAAGTTTGAATCTGCACAGCGTTATCTAGCTAATTCTTCTAGCCACATGTGAAACACTTTGTTTTGCATTATTGAAACAAAGAGGCATACAAACCACTCAAGGTGGGAAAGTGATTTTGCCCCCCTGCCTCCCAAATACAGTATCTTACAGGCCTGGTGAGGCTAGTAACCTATGCAACAAGCTGGATCCAGATGAAGGCAAGCTGAATTACAGAGCGTAGGACTTGAAGAAGAGTTGAAATTTAATTAGTGTTTTTGCCAACAAATATATCTTTTTAGGCCTGGGATGGAGATTCTGTGGTCCTCCAGGTACTCTTGGGCTGCATCCCTCCTCTTCTTTCACCCTTGGCCATGTCGGGAAGTTAGGACTGCTGGAAGTTGTAGTCCAGCAGTGCTTGGAGGGTCACATGCTCCCAATCCCTGCTGCATCTGGATATTGAGTTGGATGCTGTTTAGGCTATTTTCCATTTCATTTCATTTTTTAAAATACAGATGTACTGATGAATACAATTGTAATGCTACCTCATAGATGGGCTTATTAGGTGTTCACTGTAAACCACTAAAGGCACATTGTCTGTTACAGTGTGCTTCTCATGTAACACTGTTTTGTTCATGAATGGGGGGAAATGTAGGTTTATTCAGGCATTACTGTTGCAGAACACTGAGGAAGCGCTCTCAGCTTGTGCCTTACACACTTACATTTACTAAATTCAAAGAGAAATGTTGTCTGTGTGGAAGGTCCGCAGGCAATCAGGAATCCTGATGAATTATTTTGTATAAAGTTGATTTATATCAGTGAGTTTGTCCATGGAATAATGGGAACTAAAACTTCCTCTCCACCCTCTTCTTCCACATGCATTTAGTATTTTAAAGCTGACAATGCCAATAATCTGTTTGAGGGGTAATTTGGGTATAGATTTGGCACTCAAAGTAAACACTGCCACATGTGTAGTTTGGAGTGTGGTTTTTGCTATTAAAATTAAATATCAAATGTTTCTATCCAATATTCAGAAGCTGTGAAAGCATATCATGTTATTTCACTTTTTGGCAAAAGTTCCCCCCCCCTCAGGTAGAGCCATTTTGAATCTTTGGGCACTATATTTCAGTATTTACAGTATCAGTATATGTGAAAGGGCATCAAGTAAATTCTGACTTATGAATAGCGCATACACTTCTGTATCAAAGTCACAGTGGTGAAAATGCTTAAGACAATCAGTATTACAGAACTTTCAATTCGTGAGTCATAGTGACACTGTGAGATTGTGATCTTATGAACCCTACACCGTATAAACTAGTTTACTGATAATAGTAGGATTATATGAGATCAAGACAATGTTCCTTCTAATTTTCTACCAGCACTGAGAGGAAACCCTGCCCCACATATGCAAAGTTCCATACATGACCAGAATCAAATGTGCAGCAACACTATCCGCAGGTGTGTAGCACCAATATAGCACCACACAGCTGCACAACTCAGAGGGAACACTGCGTGGTTGCTTTTGTCAGTGCCGTTTTCCAAGGTCTATCTTCTCATAAATGACACACTGATAAATTATATCGTTTTGGGTAATAGAGCAGACTTACAATATATTCATCACTTTGTGAAAACTAAAGAAACTGATGGAATTACTCCGCTTGGTCAACATTTTTATTTTATTTTTATTGAGGTTAAAAATCACTGCTCAGAACACTGCATTTCTACCGCCGGCTGCAAATACATTACTTCCTTGAATTAAACGTCTTGGCCACAATTTGTAAAGAACTTTTAGGTAAAGCTGAAGCTTAATGAAGTTATTGTTGGGAAAGCAACTCTTAAACAGCATAGCAGCATATAATAATAATAATTTTAAAGTAACCTTTACAAGTGCTAGATGAAACATATGAAATGCATGCCTCATTCCTTCCCATAGGCTCGTCAGGGGTTGCTTTTGTCAATTACCATAGGAACTCGGAAGGGATGGGACTTTGAACTGGATATGCACAGGTTTTCAAGTGGCTATCTGGATTTAATTATTGCATTTCTGTGCTTACAAAAGGTCAGTGTGCCATTCTCAAAGACAACAGCAATATAGGTTTATATAAAAAGCACCGGGAGAGTAATTGCAACCTCCAGAGTCTGCTGGCTGGGGGACCACTGGGATGAAACAAACACATACCTCTCCCACAGAAAAGGAGCTCCACGGATGGGTGGAGGCGCAAATCAACACATTTCTCTCTGGGCATAAATGCTCACTTGCAGAAGACCCTGAAAGTGGGTGTTGCAGGCTGGGGAGAGGCAGCATTGGATCTCCTGGACTGAAACCTCCTCCGTTCCTGCAAAAATTCTAGGGTCAGACTTCTCAGCTATGCATTAACATAATTCATTACTCCATTGTTGTTACCATTGCTTTTAGTGGTGAGAGGATTCCTATATCTTCTCATGGATTAGAGGGAGCATCTCCCAGGGAGTGGGTGAAGTTTTCTCAGTGGTGGGGAGACAGTGTCCTGCCTTGCATGATATGAATCCATAAGGCTTTGGTAGGGGCAGATGATGTAATACTTCGCTACTCCCATCCTGTCTTCCAAAATTGCTCTTGAACATGTTTATGGAATTTATTTTCAATAGGTGACCTTCAATTTAATTTCAGTTTTTTGTATTTTGTCTGCCTGGTTCCATTTGTAGCTACAGTACAGTACTGGAACAGGGACATTACAATAATTTTCTTCGCTGCAGAAAACTGTTAAATGGCCTGATTGGGCCCCATGCGATGTTGTTGTCATTGTTCTCACCACAGTCATTATGACTCAGCCTTCAAAACAGAACAGTCATTAGTATCCTGTTGTGGAGCTTTGCCTGCACAAGGAGAGTAACAGAGCCAGCAGCAGATTGTTACTCATAAAAGTGATTCTGCTTTAATTTGAGGGTGCACACAATTTTGTCTCATTGTGCATGAGTTGTACACATCCTAGAATCAAAGCAGGATCTCTTTAATTATCTGCAGTCTGCTGCTGGTGGTGATGTCATTCACACTGTAGCTACACAACAGGATAGTGCTTATTAATCCTATATAATCCTGGTATTTGCATTCAGGAACACACTAACCATATAAAATGATCAGGAAAAGTTAATAACTAATTTTTACCAAGACAAACTGTCTTCACTCATTTGAGGGTCTCTTGCTGGAAATATTGTTGGACATATTAATTGTTGTATAGGTTGCATGTGTGTTAACATGTCTCTTCCCCCCCCCCTTTTTTTCTTTTTCTTTTTTCCATCTAGGAATAAATATGTCTGCTGCCGCTGCTGATTTAATGCCTACATCATCATGGAATATGACGAGTGAACTAGAGAAAGGTAAATAGCTAAATAAAGAAATAAGATAGATTTTAGATTTTGAAAAGCCACTGACTGAGTTCCTATGCTTTGATCTTGGTCATATTCAAATGTGCTTTAGAGTCAGAGGAAGGAGGAGTTAATCCCAGTTTTGCCTGTAAGGCAATTGTTTGCTATTCCATCTGTGATCTCTGAAAAATGTTGGGACTCCCCCTTTTTTAACTTCAAGTAACACATTCCACATGTCGTTGGATTTTTTTTCCTCTGAAAAATGTCAAGACTTGAATTATAATAGTATATGACCTGCATGACATTTCATCTTGTGACTCTTGGAATCTGGATTCAATATTCACATGCTTGGTATGAGTCACTTTGCTTGCACATTTTGCCATGAAATTCAGAGCTAAGCAGTTGGAAGAAGAATATAAAGAAATGCTTTGTAATAGCAGTTTTGTAGGACATTAAACACAGAGAGACATGTGCATCTATATCCATACATACAGTGTCATTGTGCAATCTTGTTTGGACATACTCTTCTCATGTATGATCTGTTCACTGTAGACACCTCTGTTGCTTGTGCTTGCTTCCCATGCCTTCAGACTGCTCGAATTTTAGGTGACCTACGTACACACAGTGTTCCTGTAGATCTTTGATATTATATCACTTCTCCATATTTTCTTTCCTCTTAGCTCACTTTGCCCGTCAAAATTATACTGTTGTATTTCTATTATGCAGTTTTGCCATTCCCAGATATTTGCATGAAATATGACTAACAAGAGAGGGAAGGGATAATTCAGAGCCTAGATAAATTCCGCTGTCAAGATCTTCAAGAAGGATCTACTCAATGTTGCTAAAATGCACAAAGGCAAAAGGAGCCATTTTGCTATATATGTAGCTGGGCTGCTGTACACCTGGTTTTTGCACCTTTTCTAGAACTGCAGAATCAGAGAGGCGATGAAAACCTAACAAAGTGCATTGGCAGCTGACTGCATTCATCTTGCTGAAATGCTTGTTGTATTTGACCTGCTGTAAGAGATTACCCAACATCCAATATTCTTAGCAGTGATGGTGTTCAGAAGAGCAGTGTGGATGCAGAGGGTGCTTTAGTCACATTTCTTCAGTCGCAGATTTGAAGGTTTCAGATGGCCATTTCTAAGTAGGGTTTCTAGTTTGTTATTGAATTTTTGACCATTCGAAGATGTAAATTTTGGTCATAGTGTGTAACGCCAGGGTCTGTAATGCAGTCATATATTCTTCAAGTGTTTGCAAAATTGCTTTTAGAAATATCCAAGTCATGCAAATATGCAAACTAAAGAAATCAGCTTCCACCTGTTTTTCCCAAGAGTTGGCACATGGTCTCAGAAGCATCTATATAAATTGGATTTTAAAGCTTGTTAAATGCCTCATGTGAAATTGGTTTCCAGCCAGCTCTCCCAATTAAGCAGATGTCCCTGCGATTTGGGGCCTTCACAGTTCCTGCCACTCTTCAGAAGTACCTCTTGCCTCTCTCAAGAACACACACACTTTACTATTTCATTAGATACAGTTTTCACGTCTTTATTAAAATATTGTAAAACTGTATGGGTATGTGTATATATATAAAAACCTGTTATCCTTTCCTTCCCATCCTGACTTACTTCTCCAGTGACTGTCTGCCAAGTGAGACTCATGCAACTTTCAGGTTTTTTTTTTATTAAATAAGCTAAATTGGCAGCATTAAAGAGTTGCCTGTTTATCCTTTTTAACAGGAAATGAAATTTAAAAGAGATGCAACCACCCGTGAAGACCTGTTGAAAGCAGCGATTGATGGGGCAGGGAGGTGGCGGTTTCTCACCAGAACTTTAAAAAGAAACAAACATTGCCTCAAAAATTAAAATGATTATTCTTTGCAGAGCATCACAGAATCACCGTCTCATAGCAGACTGTTCTTTCTTCTTCTCTGTTTCTATGCTTTGTAGCAGAAGTTATTTTTCACAAAGAAGAAAACATTTTTGTTGTTTGTTGTTGCTGGAAGTTTTCAAAAAAGATATTTTATGTTCCTTGAGTTACGAGAAATCTGATGCTGCAGATTTTTTCCCCCCTAGGAATTCCCTGAGAACTGGTAAGAGAGTGTAAGTGGTCTTGAGTGTATGCTGATCACTAATTCAGGTACACTATAGGTCAACCTTCTCTAACACAGTGTCCTCTAGATGAGCTGGAATAGAATTCCCATTATCCCAAGCCAGTAGCTATGCTGACTACTGATAAATTAGAGGGGTACTTTAACACAAAATAGCAAAAGTGAAAGCTGCACTGGTTAGTAATAGCTAGTGGCTATATCATATTGTGGTTCTATAGCTTTTGTGTTAAGCTCTGGATATCATTGCTCTTTGTTTTGTTGTTCCTCTTCTTGTTATGTATATACAGTGGTGCCTCGCTTAGCGATGTTAATCCGTGCAGTAAAAATCACTGCTAAGCGATTTCATCGCTAAGCGATTTTAAAAAGCCCATAGAAATGCATTGAAACCCCTTCAATGTGTTCCTATGGACTAAAAACTAACCTTAAAGCGAAGATCCTCCATAGGGGCGGCCATTTTTGGTGCCTCTAAAGCGAGGCAAAACAGTGGGCGGCCATTTTGTGTTTTCGGCTGCCATTTTGAAACCGCCAGTCAGCTGCCCGAAAATGAGGGCTTTGCGATGATCGCTTCCCCGCAATCATTCCAAAGCAAATTTTCCCCATAGGGACCATCGCAAAGCAATCGCGCTTGCGATGGCAAAAAGCCCATCGCAAAGCGATTTCATCGCTATACAGAGCGATCGCTATGCGAGGCACCACTGTATAGCAGGCAACATTAACATACACAGCAGTTTGCATAGTAGCATCACTCAAAAAGATGTTTGTGCTTTTTGTAGAAACAGCACAGAAACTGCAGGACCATGTGCTGTAGAAGAGGTAAACTGCACAACTCAAACTACCAGTATTACAACTCAATATTCTGTGGACGTTGTTTCTTGGGAAACAACACTGGTCAGGAGACATGAGCAAATAACTTTTCTGCTTGCCTTAAAAACCACATGGGTTTTGTGAGCATTTCTGAGACACAGCCAAGTAGCATCAACGTGCTTTGGGAATGTTCATATGAAATACTCTCCTTCCAGTCACTCTCTTCCAGAAGTGGAGATAGTTGAGTTTTTTTAACTATAACTGACAGAATCCCTAACTATGTAGAATAGGCTAGGATAAGAATTCTGGGAGTTCTCATCCCATAAGGTGACTTTTCCTATCTTTTGCTTTCATAATGCTTAGACATGGGCACAAAGCTAAAAAAAATGAATCAGAAAGTTTGTCAAAAATGGCTAATTTATTGATTTGGGTTGCTTCAAGTTCTGGAGAATCCGAACTTTCCCAAACCAACAAATTTTGTGGCAATTTCTGAGCTCATCCCCACCACAGCCTGCCTCCGAACCCCTTCCCACTGTCCCCATCACTTCCCTACCTTCTCCTTGAGCCACCATGGCCATCTTTCAAGACAGCGGCCTGGCTTCCCTACCGAGAGCCTGGCCTTCCATCTGTGTGCATGGGCCTGCCCATCAGCTGAGAGACAAGTGCAAGTGCAGAAGCCCCAGCCAGTTGAGAACTGGCCAGGCTCCTTCTAGAAAAATCCACATTAAATGCATGGGCCTGCCCATCAGCTGAGAGACAAGTGCAAGTGCAGAAGCCCCAGCCAGTAGAGAACTGGCCGGGCTCCTTCTAGAAAAATCTACATTAAAAGACACAATCTGGCCAGCTCAGCAGAGAGGCAGATGGTTTCCCCCCTTTTTAAGAAAACACACACACGCTCACTCACCCACA